GGAGCGGATCCGCGAATATGCATACACCAAAGTCAGCACAATTCAACAGAGACCTTCCATATCCTACAAATCCCAAGAGATCGGCTTCCGCTGATGACATCAGGTTTGATAAACTTTGTCCTGCTTACTTAAAGCTAGTTTACTATTCAGTTTAAGTATTTGTCTTATGATTGGGGACCGCTTTACATAATTATTTACATTATATTTAAAGTTATAATGTGCATTCTTGAATTTGCACTGGTATGATCTCCTTTCGCACATAGTCATGCTTTCCAGGAGACTTAGAAGATGAGGCCTGTACTGCCTCTTCTGACTCTGTTCTCATGTGTTCCCCTAACATTGGTTTCGCCGGCCTCTTCCGTGAAAAGAAGAATTATGAACGATAACTTAGTCACCCTGGGTCGTTTGAAATGAATTAAGAAATAATAAATGAGTTTTTCTCACCAGAAAATTAATAGGACTTTCAATGCGAACATTGCAAAAAAGGATTCCCATCTTTGATGGGCAGAAGTTCTAACCTCGCCTCATTGTCCCCTCATATCCCCTAATGACATTCGAAAGCGGGACTCGAACTTTGAGTTGCGACATGTTACCACTGCGCCAGACAGCTACGAGTGCAAGTTGGTAACAAGACATATGTGCATTTGCTATTAAACTCGACGACATTTATGGTATTCAGCTTGAACATGTTTTAAATCTATATGACATTTTTGGATGCAAACATAGTTTCCTTACATTGCTTATGACGAATTAGAACCACGTAAGCAGGGTTGTTCTACAAGTATATGCTTTTGGGTTTGGAGTTACCAAGAATTAGGATTTTGTACTAGATAGCTGATCCTCTAATAGGCTCCTTAGACTCGCAAATATGCTTGCAAATTAGTACATGGAAGAACTGAGTTTCGAGGACTCTCTCGAGATACCATGAGCAAGAGATTCGTAGGTTGGTCACACCAGCGAATAGCAACTAATTCCTGTTGCGACATTAATGCGACATTCACGTTGCTGCAGTCCACAAAAAATCTTCCCTCGTTTTTAATAAAAACTCGCCGAGATTTCCTCCGCGATACTCCTGAACAGAGAACATCACAGCTGGAACTCATTCTTGCAAAAGCCTCAAATTACAACGAAGTCAAAAACGATATCGTACTCTACCCTACATTACATACATGCATATAGATAGATATATAATTATTTGATTATTCTCCTTTCATATTAATCAGGGTACGCATACTTGAGTGTAAGTGGATATGACTGTGTGCATGTGTACCTGTTTAAACATGCACTAACTTACAAGCGTGCATAAGTTAATACACACAGACACAGACAACCACTTGAGTATGCATACCTTAATTAATAAGAAACTAACCAAATCATTTTATATCAATTCATATCGATATATTTTCTTTTTATTTTGGAGTATGTATATCCTATCGAATAGAGCTTGGTAGTCTTATTGACTTGATGTTAACTTAAATGAGTTCTAGTTGCGATGATGCCTGAAAAATGTCATGATGGTCGAAAGCTTTGCCCATTTTCACCCGAAACGAGGGATGATGTTTCGTGGACTGCATCAACGTGAACTTCGTAATGAATCCAAACGGCCGTAGCAAAACGGATATCAGTCCTCGCATTCTGATGAGATCGAGCTACGAAGCTCTTCATCATGCAAGTGTCTGCGAAAACAAATTCTCCACAACACGGCAAATTTGGACTTTTTGTCTGGTATAGCATAATCAACTGCTTCTTGAACAAGAAAATCATGGAGTTGGTGCATCTTTCATTTCGTTTGGAAAGTATATTTAAAGGGATTCGTAAATTAGCCTCATCGGAAACCCAATATGGATTGCCTCGGAGCTCTGATTGCTAACTTACGTAAAGAAGATGAGTTTTTATTAATCATAAAGTATTTCAGCCAAAAAATTTCACTTTTGCATTTATTTCTTGCATATTACTATAAATAGCTGAATTACTTATATCATATGTAACTTTTATTTGTGCATTTTTGAGGTTAAGTTGGCATGACCTCGCTTTCTCAACGTTGTATTATCTTCAGGGAGACATTATCCTCAAGTACATGAGGTGTATTCACCATATATCTTCTAAGGTGTAAGAGAACTGGTAGTTGAATTTTCCCACAATGAAATGAGTAGACCTTACGCTTCCATTGAATTTCATATAGTCTTTCTTTCCAAAAAGCTATTATCATCCAAAGGAGACTACTTCTTGACCTCGCCTAGGTCTTATCAACACCCCCAGTGGGACTCGAACCATGGCAGTTCAGTGTTTAATCTCGATACATAACGTATAAGCGCACTGCCATGAGTGCCCTTGGGCCACAGGAAAGATGTGAATTTCAAAGCAGGCCAGGCATTTTTCCATATCACATTCTCTGATGAGAGTGTCAAGAAAGCGAAGTTGTATTTGCTAGAGCTGTAGACTAAATTACCTATTTTCGATTTACAACTAAATTTTTGAGGCTATCAGTGGATCATATAGACTTATTAGACCTAGGCGAGGTCGAAACTGCAGTCCACTCTGAATCAGAATCGATTTGGGGAAGGCAAGGCTAAGTGAAAGCCAATGAAAGCCTAAGGTCTAATCATATAATTTTGAGAAAATCCTACCACTAGTCCTAAATCAAAATATGGTGAATATACTTTTTATATATGATCTACTGGCAATCTGGAAAACCTACTTATAAAACGAAAAGCTATCTTCAAATATTCCTCCAGCCTCGGTTTCGCCTGTATCGTCAGTGAATAGCGCTATTACCAACAATGAGCATCATTATTAACACAATCGTCAATATTAACTGAGCGTCATTCTCAGCATCATCATCGACATTGCATTAGCATCCTCATTTAAATTAATGTCAACACTAAGTGAGGATCACTATTAGCATTATCGTCGACATTAATTGATCATCTACATTAACACTGAGATCTTCCAAACATTCCCTACTGGGAGAGCAGCCAGTCACCAGTTCGGTGCTGTAAGAAGAGAGAGACAATGTTGGAAAACGTAGTACCGGCTGCGTTATATTAAGTCTTTCATAAAGCACAAATAAGTCACTTAAAACAAGTCATATTAAGTCTTTCTAGCTGAATGGGACTGCCGCCCAAATCAAAACCACACCTTTTCAGTCCACTTATCTACGAAAGTTTATCTTTATTTATGGGGCCGTGTTTATTCGTTTGTCTTTCAGAAAATGCGCCAATGAAGCCTTTCCATTCTCCTGCCCCTGTTGCCACGTGTTCGCTTTCCGTCGTGCTCGCTCTCTTCGTCTCAATGATCCCGTTGGCCGTCCAGTAGAGGAAATGTCGCCTGGTTGGGTCACCCACGCGGGCAGCACAACTTGTCCCTTCTGCTTCCGCCTCTTCCGTGACGCCACTCGGAGCCTGGGCCCGACGAATGAGGCTTCTGTGAGCCAACATCCCGGACCGCAGCAATGCAACTTCTGGTGCAGGAAACGGTTCGACTCTCGGAACTCTGCCTCTGCGAAGCAGATGCAAGTGAAGTGCAGAGATGGAAGCACCGATGTTGACGACCAAAATGAACCGGTATGCTTCGTGTGAAGTCGAGCGTGAGAATATGTGTGGCAAAACATGGTGGGCCGATTGCCAAATTTCAGGCAATGGGTGATAAGTAAATCTCGTATAAAAGTAATAAAATAAGCAAGTCTCATTTCAATGAATTTCACTCAAAACTTTTGCCAAAAGACTTTCTCAGTCCAGTTGAACCGCATTTTCGCCTTTGAATCGACCCCTAAAGGGACTCGAAGTCGGAGCTTTTGCATCAGACAGAAATTTTATTATATTAGATGTATTCACCATATTTCGCTTGGGGTGAAAAGGACTATTAGTTGAATTTTCCCACAATGATATGAGTAAAGCTGACGTTTCTATTGAATTTCATATAGCCTTGTCTTTCCAAAAGGTGTTCTCATCCACACAGAGGTGAACTTCAGTTTCGACCTCACCCAGGTCCTATCAACAGCCTCACTGGGACTCGCACCATGGCAGTGC